AGGGGATCCCACCTCTCCCTCCCTCAGGACACCCCCCCTGCATGGCTGGGCCCAGCAGAGCAGCACATGGAGCTGTTGGAGCGAGGCCAGAGAGGCCATGAAGGTGAGCTGGGAGAGCGGGGGATGCTGGGCCTGGGGAAGAGATGGCTCTGGAGAGACTCCTCCATTGGGGCCTTCAGCCTGTGAAGGGGGCCTGTAGGAATGATGGGGTCAGGCTTTTTAGCAGGGCCTGTTGGGGCAGGAGAAGGACTGGTGGMTGTAAACTGAAAGGAGGTAGATTTAAACTAGGTATAAAGAAGATTTTTGCTTTTWATGCTGAGGGTGGGGAGGCCCTGGCACAGGGTGCCCAGAGAAGCTGTGGCTGCCCCTGGATCCCTGGCAGTGCCCAAGGCCAGGCTGTACAGGGCTGGGAGCAGCCTGGGACAGTGGAAGGTGTTCCTGCCATGGCAGGGGGTGGCACTGGGTGGGCTTTAAAATCCTTTCCAACCCAAACCATCCTAAGATTCTAAGAGTTAGCAAATGCACTGTGAAATTGTTGCTCCATCCCAGGAGCTACTGATGCCTTTGAAAAATGCCTGCTGGAGTCTGGACACCAGCAAAATGAAAGATGGAACAGCGGACGGTGTTCAAAGAGAGGAGAGAATTGCTCATGAAGTGCCAAGGTTCTTTTCAGCTATTAAATGGACTACAGAAATGTGATATTATGTTTCTGTTTGCCAATGAGCAGCAGCTTGCTGTGTGCTTTTTGTTTTGGAAATGAGGTGTCTGAGGCAAATCTGTTCCAGGCTTTACAGGGGTAATGGGATTTTGGAGTGCAGTAACCACAGCAGGCTCTTCCACATGTTTCCTGCTGGATTTGGAGAGCACTGTGTGGAGAGCATTGTCCAGGAGGGCAGCTGGTCAGAGCTCGGGAACACAACAAAAAAATTGTTCCTGGCTTTGTTAGGGGAGTCCATTGTTAATTATTTTCTTTTCCAGGCCTGAGTATGCAACTCAGAGCCATGTCTTGGAGTTTAAAGGTCACTGGATGTGGACGAGTGTGAATTGGTCTGTTTAGAGTGTTTATAGTCACTTCAGGCCCTAGAATCTAATTCTTCTTGAAATGTTCTGTTGAAATAGAACATGATTTAATTATATTAGAATAATAGATTTGATTATAAATTTATGATTAATGGGTTTTTCTGCATTGGCTTGAGGGCCATTCAGTGTCTGCACCCACCCAGGCAGTGAACTGGCTGCTGCAGTGCYTCTTGAGTGCCCCATGAAGCTCTGAGATGCTGTACCCTGGGATGGATGTCATTTGTGCCCTGTGAAACAAAGCCCCCACAGAGTCACAGCTGGGCAYGGTTGAGTTCTTCCTCAGCCCCTAGCTTTGGTTGTACAAATCTGCTTCTCCAAGAATTCATTTCATCATGGCTTTAACACTGTCCTCCTCTCAAAGGGACCTCGTTCAGCCTTTCACCAGCCCCAGCCAAAGCAGCCTCACAGATACTGCTGACTCTTCTAAAAGAACTTGGAAAAGGTAGTTTTACCTTCCATCAGATCTTTACTTCTGTGAGAAATTCCTAAAGGCTGACATGGGGAGTTGGTTGGTTTCCTTTTGGGGTCTCCCAGACAGTATGAGTGATTAGCTTGGAAAACTGTGACATATTTAGAGCTAGTTTGGTACAATCATTAAGGGGTTAATTCTACTACTTGTTTTATCCATCAGGATAAACTTGAATTTTAGAGGCTTTGGGTATGACAGTAAGCAATCAAGTCAGGAAAACACAGWATCTGTTTTAAATTCACATGAGACATGAGATGTTTGAAAAAGCTAACAGTGATTTATTTGTATTTAATCCTACTAACCTGTAAGTAGGGTAATATTTCAAATAGTCTCTAGGAGCACAGTGACTTTTTCATGGAGCGCTCYTGGGGCTGCCTCTACAGCTGAATTCTGATAAGTTTTCAGTGCACACATTTTGGTATGTCACAGATAGAAATGAGGTGCTCCATCTTTGTCACGTGCGTGTTCAATCATCTGTGTGCTGATGGCATTTCAGATGGGACCCCGGGGGAGCTCCTACACTGACAAACATCCCCTCAGCATAAATAACTGCTCAAATTAAACACATTGAAGCAAATGTTTGGTGTACACATTTTACTGATTTCTGTATCCTCTGTCAATACCTCATGCAATGTGATCTTTACCCAGAAAAGTCAAGTCGCTAAGGCTAACAATGATTTCAGAGTACTTGATTATATTTACATTCTTTGGAGTGATAGATGAACAGCAAAGGAAGCAAAGCCTCTTTCTAATCAATTCCAGTTACAAAGAAGGCTTATTAATAAATCAAATTTGAAAATACACAACAGATAGATGCTATATTTAAAAGTATGTGCATATATGTTGAAAACCAAATCTCCTTACTGTCATTGACAGCTTTTTTCCTTTTTCTTCTTGTTGTCCTGTCCTTGGCTGGACCAGCTGCTATATCTTTAGTCCTTGGGTGGGTCTTGGCACTCAGTCCTTGTCTGAGAAGCCCAAGCTGTGCTACATGTCCATTAATGACGTGGATGATGGGGCAGAGTGAGCCCTCAGAGGTATCTGGACACACAGGCCTGGGAGGAGTGGCTGATGTGCCAGAGGGATGTGTTGCTGTCCAGAGGGATCAAGCCAGGCTGGACAGTTCAGCAAGGAGGAGCACAAAGTCCTGTCCTCGRGGAGGAACAACCCGAGAATACTCTGATGGACACCCAGCTGGGAGACAAGAAAGGCCCTGGCAGGACCTGGTGAGCACCAAGCTGACCATGGGTCAGGGACAGGGAACTGTGCCCTGGGCCATGTCAGGAGCGCTGTCACCACAGGGCAGGTAAGGGAGCCCTCCTTGTTGAGCACTGAGGAGTTCATCCCTGGTCCACTGTGTCCAGCTTGGGGTCCCCAGTGTGAGAGACAGGGATRTACTGGAGGGAGTCAAACATCAGGAAACATTTCCTTTCATTTTTTAATGGTKAGGGTGGCCAAGCACCAGGACAGGCTGCCCAGGGAGGTGGTAGAGTTTCCCTCCTTGTAGATGTTCAAAAGCTGCCTGGACRTGGTCCTGGGCAAACAGGTCCAGATGGTTYTGCTTGGGTAGGGAGTTGGACCAGATGACTTCCAGAGGTCCCTGTTGATCTCAACCATTCTGAGGCTCTGCAAAGCTGGAGTGGGAGCTGCTGTCAAGAGCAGCTCTTTGCTGGATTTCTTCCTCTCCTTCCTTCCCTTCCCTCTTCTTCCATTCCCCTCTACTATGGTAAAATATAATTTTTCTGACCAGTTGGACTTCTTGGTATGAAAATGGTCTTGTTTCCATAGAAGAAGTTATGTGATTGTTGGTATGTTTTTAGTGTTAATCAAGAACAGTTTCTTATAATTATAAGCATTTTGAAACAACTTGATGGAATGTAAATCTTTACTGAGTAAAAGAAGGGACCACATTCTGAAATCCATTGTAATGTATTKTTCTTCCTTCCCATCTCCTTTTTCCACAATAACTGAGTGGCTTACAGATTCCCAAACCAAGGTATCTGTTAAAAGATACACTTACATACATTTACAAGAATTCAAGCTTATATTAGACATGTCAATTGATGTCCTTTATAAAGGATAAGGAGCAAAATGACATTCTGTCATCATTAGGGCTGTTTCTTGGATTAATCTGACATCTATATATATATCTAGTATGCACAAAAATTTTTGTCCATATTCAACCTAAGTTTTGAGTTCTGGGTTTTAGGCTGATTATTAGAAGCAAAAAAAAATTCATATGGCTCGAGCCCCTTTGGAGTGTCATCCATGTCATCTTTGTTTGGCTGGAAGATWTTTTGTAGCCCTCAGCTGTGTCTAGAAATGAATCAGTAAACAACTGTCCTCTCAATTAGACCTGCACAGGGGATTAGAAAATTCCTGATTGGGGTTAGAAATTTGTGGTTAGAAAAAATCTGATAGTGAAAGCTAAAGAGCACTGGAAGGTGCAGGCAGGTGGAGAGAACAYGGGAGATGTGAGTTAGCCCTGGAGYGCTCCTGCAGTACCTGGGAATAGCAGATGGATGAAGGAAAAATGCTAAAAACAAAGAAATACCACAGAAGAAAAAAGTGTATCGAAGCAGGGGAGAGACACTGTAGATCCAGAACAGAGGAGGTAAAAAGCAACAGCTGGAGTCTGGCAKATAAAAAGTCTTCAATGTCAGGGACATTTTCTGGGTCTGGTCCCTCCTTGCTCTCCTGGGAGTTTAACCAGGAAAGATTTTCCTCCTGTGCCATCTTGGATACCTCAAATTTAAGGCAAAGAACTTCAAGAACAAGGGAAAGAAATCTTCTRTTGCCTTGAGTTTCACCCATATATTTCTGAGCCTTTAAGGGTTGATACAGCATTTGATGTATTTTTTTCCCCCCGGTTGCTGAAGCACGTGGAGATTCCTGCCTCAATTCACCCTTGGGGTTGGTGCTGGAAGCTCCTGAAACAAGAAAGGGCAAAGGAAGGGATTGATTGCTCAGAGTGGTTTGCTTTGAGGTATACATGAGGGTATACATTCATTTTTTGCTCATCTTTCCTTTCTTCCTCAAAGTCCCAGAAATATCTTCCTTCCTTTGGTCCCTGAATATGCAGGATCCTTGGAAGCAGGAGAAGAAGGTCTGAGGAGTCAATTCCTATGGATATGGCTGGGGAAAAAAAATCTGATTTTTATATTCCAAGGCACAGATACATTTAGGGTTCAAGTCTATGTGTATATTGTACCCCTGGYAGTAGAATGACTGAAACCTCTGAAGGTGGAAGGACTGATGCTCAGTTGAGAATGACTAAAAAAATGGCATTATTGTCTTGGGTCCATCTTTTCAGGTAAAATAACCTACATAAATACTTGTCCTGATTTTTGTTGAATATGTGAAAATGAAGTAAACCCCAAACCCTGCATTTTCAGCCTCATACTTTGGCTGTGCTGCAGGCTGGTGATGTCCTTGGGGACAAAGCCAAGCCCTAGTCCCWCACTGGCCTAACCAGTCCTATTTTAGTGGCCATTTGGGTGCCACTGGKGCAGGTTTTATGGTGTTGGTTAGACAGTTCTGCAGGCTGTCAATTATAGGATCCTTCAAAATAAACCCCCAAACCCACAGGAATCCAGAATTAATCATAAAACACATCTCTTTTGCTAATTCAGTGCCAATCTCCCTGAAACAGTGTCTGCTCCCTGAAATAACATCCAGCTTGTGATAACCCCACAATAAAGACTGTCCATTAAATTTTAAGAGGGGCAAATCCAAGCTTGAGAGCTCTCTGTTTGGATTGCTATACACATAGGGCGATTTAAAATATCCACTTGAGAAGCTAATGAAAGACAGAAGCCCTGCTGTATTTCTGACTTGGYTTAGCACTTGGGGTTTAATATCAGGCACTGGCAGATCGTCTGGAAGATCCGGCACTTGCACAGAGCGCAGTAGTTACAGCACGAGTTCAAATGGGGCTTGCAGGCTTTGTAGGTTGGCACACAGTTAGCAGCAGGTGGGGGCCTTGGCTTCGGGGATACCTTGTGTTCAGCATTTTTCTGGAAGAGAAAACAATGAGAATTCATTGAGAATTCACCCKCACCAAGTGATGGTGGCTTGGGGAGTGAACAGAGGGAGGTTCTGGGGGAATGGGCTGGTGGTTGCTGGCAGTGGGACCTGTGTTAGTGATGCAGGGATGTGGTGGGGATGGGAAATGGGAAAACGTGGCTTTCTGAGCAATTGCATTTCTGAGCAAAATGACAAACTTCACATTGACCATGACTGGATGGAGTGTTGGAAAAGGGTCTGTAGAGGAAGAGTGTGGCAGCAGTGAAGAAAGGGATGTACAAAAGTACAGAGGTGGTGAAGTTACCAGTAAAACCAATGAAGGTGTTATGTTTGCATCCCCAAACTTTTCAGATGAGTGAAAGCTCCCTGTCAGGCTCTTGTTTGCTGAGCTGTGACACTGAGAGGGTGAGAGATGACTTGGCAGAGACATCTTCCATTATCCCAGGTTGCTCCAAGCCCCATCCAACTTGGCCTTGGAAACTTCCAGGGATGGAGCAGACACAGCTTCTAATTTTCTTTCCATCATTATTGTTTCACATGTATTTTCACAATATTTAGAGATTTAAAGTGTATGTAAATTATTTAAATCAGGGACTGGCAGTAAAAACTTCACAAATGAATGCATTGAGGCAAACTCTAGAAATAACAAACAATTATAACCCARCAAAGGTTTCTGAACAACCACCTACCTTGGAAGACTTCTTGTTCTCTGCCTCTTTCCTGCTGACTTTCTGGGATCTTCTAGTTAAATCTTGAACGAGAATAGTGAGCATAATATGAAATCAATTTTACAGAATGTTATTTCATTGAGATAATCCTATTTGTGTGTGAGAGGAGGCAGATAACCTGCATTGCCACCTCACTGCTGCATGTTTGGCAGTGATGCTCATCTCAATTCAGAGTGTCTGAACTCTGTCACTGCTGCTTGTGTGAAGCAGGAGAGCAACTGATATTTGTATTTTAGAAGGGTTTTTTTTACACATTACTTGTTAGGTGCAAGCAAGGAATTATTTCAGAGAAATGAAATTAAAGGTCTGTGAAAAAGATGGGGGTGCTCATGCACATTAGCCACATSAACATCAATAGGAAAAATCTTTATAATTCCATAATTCTTTTTGTTAAAAGGCGGTACTACATGTGTAATTTTGGAAGGAATTAACAAATGTACGCTTCTTTCCACAAGCAAATCTCTGCTGCTTTGACATAAACTCTGCATCTGTGTGATGCCACCTTTYACTCTGCAGTTCTTTGTTCCTCCTCCACCTACCACTTCGTTTTACATAACTTTACCTTGAATGAAAGGTGTTTCATTCACGTGCTTGTAACTTTGCTTTCTATGTATATTTATCACTCTGTTTTTAGACAYTGATAATTATGTGTGAATTCCATGCCTAGGGCTTATCTTGGCCTCTAAAATAGCAGAACTGTTTAAGTGTGAGACATTTCGTAAATTCACCAACCTGTTGTGATGTTTTTGATGCCTTTATTCTCTGTGTGTGARTTTTGTAATAAGCACTAACTGAATGCAATGGATGATTGGGATAAAACCCACCCATATCCCCCTGAAGAATGGTGGCTCTTCATCTATTCCAGGATACTCTATCAATTTATTTTTTAATATTTACTAACTGCTAGGATTTGCAGAGTTGCAGAATGAAGAATAAGTACTTTGACCTGGTTTGGGGGGTTTAATTTATTAATCTTGCATCTTTGTAAATTTGGTTTATGCATCTCTAAGAGGCAKTGGGGGAAACGTGTCCCAGCTCAGCACATCTGCCATGTCTAAAACATAGGTTCCCTTCTGTGAAAGATAAAGAAATCAGCTGAAGGGATTGTATTTTATAATTCTCTTTTTAAGTAGAGTAAAAAAATCATTGGATTCTGAGAAGGAATACATCAAGGATCACGAGGACCGCAGAATGGTGCAGCTTGGGCAGCTGCAGAGAAGCACAAGTTTTGCTAAACTTTCAGTTAAACAACACTGAGTTAACTCATGATTCAGAGGTTCAGATTTCTTTGGAAAAGCATCTCTGGGGCAACTGTTTCTCCTTAAAGAAATGTCATCCTGAGCAAGAGCATGATAAAAAACACAGGAAACAAGGTAGGAACCAGAGTGCTTCAAACAAAAGCCCTAAAAGCCTGAAGAAAGAARCTGAACAAAAGCAGCTTTATTTTTTAAATTATTAGCATTATGACAGTTATGAATGTTTTGTAGCTGATTATCTCCAAATACGTGTGAGTTTCTTGAAAGAAGAGGTTGTGTAAATTACATTGAAAGCGTTAAGGCAGACAGAAGGAAAGAATTTTGTGAAGCGTTAAATATGGCCCTAAATAGGTTTTACCCTAACAGGATGGGTGCTCATCTGCCAGTAACAGTAGGGACAGAGCTGGTCCTGTCTTGGAGAGATAAACAACCCCTGGCTCTCCCTTGCAGTGCTGCTTTCTTCCCCTGTTTAAAGATCAGGCAATCTGAGGTTATATTAATATCTGTTAATATTGTTGATTTCTCTACCACAAGAACAAATCCTTAAAAAATCCCACATGATGTTCATTTTTTTCTAAATGCATGAGATTTTCAAAGGAAGATTACTGCCTTTTTTAGCAGAAAAATACTTCTCTTCCATATAAAAAGCCTTACAGTGTATCAGAAACTGAAATGAAACCTGTAAAATAAAAATAAGTTGTCCGATCATTATTATTATTTGTTTCCTCTAAACTGACGTTTGCACATGGTCATTCTTGGACGCTGCAGCCACAACAGTTCTGCACCCTATTAAGGGAATTGTACAACATTGCAAAGGTATCCAAAAAATCCATAATAATCAACAGCAGCGTTTCCTGCAGATCGTGTTGATTTGGCACCAAACAGCAGATTTTACTCACCTACTATGGAGATGGGTGGGAGATCTGAGAGGTCCATTCTGCTGCTCCTGGACAGATTGCATTCTTTCTTCTCCTCAATGACCAGGATGGAATTAGCTGCTCTGAACAGGCTGTAGCACAGCAGGAGGCTGAGGAAGAGGTTCTTTCTTTCCATCGTGGGGAGGAAAAATTCCATTGTCATGAAAACCGAAATCCGTCAAAACCTGCACGGAGAGGAAGTGCAGGGATATGAATCTCAGCAATGGATTTCTGTCATGTCGTGCAGCTTAAGCAACAAATCTCTGACAGCTCTTTTTTTTTCCCCAGAACCTTGCCTCTGGTACTGGAATACCTAAGATTGTAGCTGTAAGAGTGGAAAARTGCTATCCCAAATAGAACTTCCCGAGATGCTCTTTATTCCTGATTCTTTTCTCAAAAGGTTTATTTCCCCATAAGATGTGGGGGTCCTCCCAGCTGAGCTTTATAATGTGGCTGAGCAAAATCACATCATCAATTCCTTCCCAGAAAAACTTGTCTACAAATTTGTGCTGAAAACATAGAAAAATAAGGACGATTTAACACTGCCCCCCAATTGTGTTTCCCATTTATTTTCTTTTCTTAAAAATGAATCACAAAGTGACATCTTGTTTTGTTGCATCTCCAAGTGGCTTCTCTGATCCCATATACATCACAGCTGTAACTCATGTGACTTATGAAAGGCCCAGTGCTATAAAGTGTTTATGTGCCTTGGGGTTCTGCACTGAATAACTTGYGAGATGTGGCCATGTCTGGGATTTGAGGATTTGTGGAGGCACCTGAGCTGTGGAGCATGGCCCTCCCTGAGATGWCAGTCCCTGCAGGGTGTGTATCACCCGCCTGGACTCCTTTTCTTGTACTTTGTTGCATTTCAAAGCTGATTTTTATCTCCATGTGCATCAGATTTCTGCCGTGTTGGAGTCATGGGAGCCTCCTTCCCCCAAAGGCGCTCCCAGCCTCCAGATTTATGGATGGCTTTGTGTCGGTGAAAACCTACTGGTAGCTGTAAAAAGAGGGAGTGAAACCAAATGTTTAGGGCTGTTCATCTGCTTGTAAKGATTTCATTACTGGGGAGTTAAAAGGTGAAGAGTTTCTGCCTTTGGGAGGGCTTTGCTCTGGTCACTGCTGCTACACCGAGGCTGTTCTACATTGGATTTTGTGGCCCCACTGACCCTCTCTTCCCTGGGAGATGCTCAGTATGATGCTTCTAATTCCAAGTGCTTGGGATCAGTTCTGGAATTGTCCTGCTGGCCATGCTCATGTAACACATCAGTGCTGGGGGCATGGAGGCTGCTTGCACTGCTTGCACAGTGGCTATACTGGGAGGGGCTCAGCCTGGAGAAGAGAAGGCTCCAGGGAGACCTRAGACCCCCTTCAGCCCTTATGAAAAAGAGGGAGAGCAAATTTTTACCCTGGCAGAGAGTGATAGGACAAGGCAGAATCGTTTTAAACTGAAAGAGAGAGTTTAGAGGAGATTAGAAGTTCTTAACTCAGAGGATGATGAGGCCCTGGCACAGGGTGCCCAGAGAAGCTGTGGCTGCCCCTGGATCCCTGGCAGTGCCCAAGGCCAGGCTGGACGGGGCTGGGAGCAACYTGGGACATGGGAGGTGTCCCTGCTCATGCTGGAACTGAATGATCTTTAAGGTGTCCAACACAAACCATTCTGAGAGTCCATGATTCACTCCAGGATCTGCTCGGCTCCATTGGGATTTGCAGGGTCACAATGCTGGATCCTTTGGGGTTCATACGTCGGCATGAGCTGCAGCTGAAAGAGATGGATCTGACCCTGGAGTTTTACAGGGGGGATTAAGCTCTGGGGAGGCAGTGCTGCTGTGTCTGTGTTTGAAATGCTGCACACTGGAGTCATTCAAAGGTGTGAAAGTTCAGACCCCAGCTGGGGCAGAGTCATGGCTGTGGGTAGGAGTCTCCTTTGAATGAGTTGAATCACATTTTGTGATATGAGATGTGAAGTGTCTGATTTGATCCCAAATCACCTACTCGAGGAGAAAGTGCATCTTGTTTAGAAGACTCTAAAAATTATGATAACCAAAAGGAACAAGTCCTGCCATGAGAATTTGTTGTGATGGTAGAATTATGGGCTTGAATTTTCAGTTATTGCTGTATAGCAAGGTATGAAGGTGACATTTCTGTGTCAATTCTTTACGTACCCTGATCTTGCAAACTCTTGTACAGAAGCTCAGCCTTTACCTGTGGTATTTTCCCATTTATAATGGAAATATGTGAAAATATTTGCCAGGTCAGGATCCTACCCTGATCTTTTTCTTATCTTCAGAAGAGCTCCCCATTCATTGGCTTTTCCCCATCCCCTTTCACAAAAGGTGTCTAAACCTCACTGAGATTTTTTGGTGGTTCCTAAAGCCTGTTCTAATAAATACCTATGTGTGTAAAGAACCTTTTAGGTCACAACCATTCAGGGYACAACCATTCAGGTCACAATTAGAACTTCTTTTTGTGTAACTGATTTTACCAACCTGAGTATCCCTGGTGATGTTCATATTCTTTAAATCTATATAAGAGCTAAATAATGACTTTTGTGCCCAGCTTGTCTGTGTTTTCCAAATACGCAATGGGTCAAATATAATATAATGYCTAAGAATCTTAGCCTGCTTAACATTCAATTTTGCTGCTTTTTGAGATCTAAGCATACAGGGATGGAAGAAATTTTTTACAGAAGGTGGTAAAACACTGGCACAGGTTGTCCAGGAAAGTGATGATGCCCCATCCTAGGAAACATTTAAGGTCAGGTTGGAGAGTCTTTGATGAACCTGGCTTAGATGAAAATGTCCCTGCTCATGGCAGGGGAGTTGGATTAAATTATCTTTAAAGGTGACTTCCAACCCAATCTAGTCCATGATTCTATGACATGGGGCTTCACTGATTATCTTCAGTTCTTTGATTATCCACACAGCTCTCCTGCTCAGTTTCCTGATTTTTCATTAGAAGCAGAGGTAGTGCTCCTTTAGTGRCCTTGACTGTGTCAAATAATCTCCTTACTCCATTCTAGTAATCTTTAATCCAGTTCTGCTTTTTACTCCAAAATTTTGCTAGGGTCTAAGTCAAGCCAATGCCCACACAACGGCTTTACTATCCACAGGGTCATTAAGTTAGTGGCAATTACCTGTCTGTTYTCCATTTTACTGAAAAGGAGTTTCCCACCCAGCTTCACCAGTTTAACAATTAGCACCCAATTTTAGGTGGCTGTTTAGCCTTCCTGCAAGGTGCAGCTTGGAATTAAATCTGCCTCTAAAGAGAGTAATTTTGTTTTCTGTTTTTAAATCATTCCAACATTCTATTTAATTTTTAATACCAGTGACCTCTTACGATATTTTATCTATTTTAAATGGTGTGTTTTCCTGCTCCTAGGGTTGTTTGGAGCTAAGGGGCAAGACTTTTGGATTATTTGAAAATGTACTCCTGCCTTCATACCAAGATTTAGGGTACTTTAGAAAGCATTCTTCAAGTGTTCTGTCCTGTTCCTCATTTTCTGCATGTTTAAATCTTTCTAGCTCCTTTGGGAGGAAATCTAAGTTATAATGATTTCCAGCTCTGTGGAAGTGTTTCTGGAAGGGTGAGTATGTGAAGAAGGGAAGCAAGTGCCTTTAAAGGCTGTGTSAAAGAGGAAGCTGTCAAGCTTTTGCTGCTCTATTTTCACTTTCTAGAGAAGCCCTATTTTAAACACTCATCCCTTTGCTACCTTGTGAGAGCTTGCACATTGCTTTGACTAAGGGACATTGCTTTTTTTGACATGTTTTTGTTCTCTCTTCCACGGCATAACTAGACACAGGCTTTCCACATATGGAGATGTGAGATTTCCTACTGGTATTCGCTACAAAACCTCTATTGTCTTTGGGTTTGTTCTGTTTGTAAATTCAGAAGTAAATTGGCTTTTATGTTACAATCCAGACATCTAAAAGGTGAAGTCRATTTTTTTTAAATAGGGTATTTGATCAGTGATTAGTGGAGGCTGATGGTGGATTGGCCTCTGAAATCCTTTAGACATCAATAATCCTTCTGGCCGGGGTGGTAACATCATAACAAAGAGCAACGGTCAGTTTACAGCTGATGGGAAAAAAAACCCAAATAAATTTGCCGTCTGGCTTTTCCTGCTKATAAATTCTAAATAACTTGCTTGACAGTCAGAGGACAGAGCCTTTCTCCAGTGAAGAGGAGGGAGCCAGGAGAGGTGCCGAGGCCCGTGTGATAGGGATTTGCAGAGGATGGGAAGCAGAGCAGGGAACAGGAGCTGTGGTGCTGTACAGGACATGCCYGGGACATGGGTGCAGCAGTGCTGCTCCCTGTGATCAATCCACCATGGGCCATCCTGGACTTGCTGGGGCCCTGAGTGCTCTGCTCTGCTGCAGGTGATGGGGCTGGTTGTGACAGAGCACAGCTGCCCCTGGGATCAGACTGCGGGGGAGAGTGGGGAGCTGCCCCAGGGCTCCCTGCATCCCTTGGATGCGGTGGAGGAGGCAGGAATTCCTGCTCAGTTTATGGCAGACAGACCCACTGCAGGGAAACTCAGAGGGGCTGTGAATAAGGGGTTAAATTTGAAAGAGAATTTTGAAGAAGAAGATAAAATTAAGATATAATTGAAGAAGAAGGTAAAAGTAATTGTTTTGTGTTCCATGTGTAATGGCATTTCTAAATATCCCGCTCTCCTGCTGTCTGTGTCCTCAATGTCCTCAGATGCTCTGACTCGTGTTAATCTTGGTTTGTGAGCACAGTTTCTGCTCCAAGGGACCATTGGCACTTTGGGGGCACATGTGTGCCTGCCCCAGCTGGGAGTGCTGAGTGGCAGGGAGGGGAAACCTTTCTGGCTGCTGCTGGGGAGAGAAGGATGTTTCTGGACATTCCTTGCAAATCCTGGCAAGGAGCTGTTTTCCTGACTGTGGCATGGACAAGTCAGAGCAGTTGGAGCCATCAGATTTGTGTGGAGTRGCTTTTATCTGTGCCCTCCTAGAAATGAGAAAATAATAATAATAATAATATCAAYAATATCATTTGCATTGCTCTTGTCTACGTATGGAAAATCCTGGGATCAGGGACTCAGATGTCCTGTACCAYATGGAAGGAAGATTTTGGAGCAGTCTTGGGTATCTGTGCAAGATCAGTGCAAGATCTGGACTGTCTCCACAAAGCGCTGTGAGGCACAGCTTTGGCAGGGAAG